ATGTTATATGGTTTATCAAGGTGTGAATGAATTTCAGATTTCTTTAAATTTTCTGGGCTGTATTGTCATTTTATCATTTGTTTTATTTCATGTAATGACCTTACATAAACACATATGGGATAAAATACAAATATTAAACCACAAGTTTGTTTTCAAGTTATTGCATGCACTTATCAAAAAAATAGTTGATTAAGGTAATTTTGACTAAAGATTTTGTATTAAGGGAAAAAAATAAAATTATTAACAAAAACACAGCATAAGTTAAATATGTTTAGATGTCATAGCTAAGTTATAAAAACCAATACTGTGTATTACTTTATTTTCGATTCGCTAAATATTACAGCTTATGCAAACTTGTACTGCATACTGTTCACTGATTTTATTGTTCAATTTAATAAAATAAAATATTCTACAATTTTTAAATTGTTTAATTTATTCATAAATAGACCAATCATGGAACGCAAGAAGATACTAAGAGAAAATATGACAGAGATCCCAAATAAAATAATGTTTTCAGAAGCCCACCTCATAAATGTAAGTATTATTTAATACTCTGAGTTTCTTTGATATTGTATGAGAACTATTTTTGTGCATATCAACATTTTGTAACTGATATTCCTACTGTTTTTTTCTTCAGGCAGGAAGTTGCAGTAACTATCTTTAAAATTTTGTTTAGGAATGCTGTAAATTTCTTTCTGAAAAGTGTAATGGCTGCCATATGTTGTCAAAAAAGAGCTGTAATGGTTTCATTAATCGTACCATTAACAAATGATTAATTCTGTTATCAGGAAAGTTCAGAAAATATAATTATTGTATTATTAGAGTGAGCTTAGTCAGTGGTAACACAATTGTAGAATTAAGGATGTCATCGGAGGTAAATTCAAAAAGAAAAATGTGAAAGATGGAAGCAAAAATAAAAAAGGAAAAAAAACATCAATATAGATTGATAGCATCTAGGTATGGTCCTTTGCTACTATGTTGTTGAATTACTGGGGGTGGGGGTTTTACAATATTATTGTTTTAAAAAAATAGACGAATCATTTATAATAGAGACATAAAACTAATGGCATTTGGGTCATCTCAAAAGCAGTCAGAGTTTTAAGGAGATAAATTGACACCAAAATTACACAACAAGACCAAATCATAGATGCTTTTGAAATAATGATATTCTATTAATAAATAGTTACTGTGATCTTACCAGGGTCCTAGCACTATATTTCACACATACAATGTATTTATAGGTAAGTTGGACATGAATAGACCAAAGACATCACACATCAGTGTACATGTAATCGAGTGAACTTGTGTGAAAGCGTCTTTTACCACTTAGACCTTTGAAATATATCAGGAGACAACAGGACGTGTTTTTATTCATTTTTAAACTTAAACAGTTTTACTACTGGAACAGAGCAGTCCATCGTCTGCTCACACTCTTTTCTTATGCACATAGAAAGTTGCAGTCACGATTACTTTTCAGCTATAAAAATTATGCAATATGAATAAGTAAATAAGCAGAAGTGATGACGAGTTGAAAGGAAAAATAAATACCCTATAATTACCCTATAATTGGTATTATGAGGGGGGGCAAGGGGGGTAGCTGGTCCAGTTTAAGGGAAATAAAAAGGGCTTTTTACAATTTACAAGGAGAAAAAGACGTTTTTACAGTTTACAGTAATCTAATCGTTTTACAGTTTCGAAAATGTAATTTCCCTGGATTATTCTTTACAACTTTTTTCATTTGGATTTAAATTCTTGTACGTACCGAGAAAAATTACACATTTTTACAGTGTACAAAAAAAATATTTGATTGTACGTCTAGCCTGTGATTACAGA